AACAACTAATCTAATTCATAGAACATTGTCATTTAAACAGAATAAAACGAATACCCACAACATTCAGCCTTGAAGAACAGCATTTTTATCACTAGTTCTATGTGAATGTTAAATGTGATAATGAATGACAGTTCCTGATAAAATACCTTATGAATAATAGTAGTCAGTGCAGCAGCAATACATTAATTTACTGTGTATACCCCTACCGTGTGAATGGTGACAGTGCAAGAGATTGATATTAACTACTAAATAATTTAAGTTTTTAATTTGTATTATTTATTAATAAGTTGGTATAGATGATATTAAATCTCATAAATTAGGTTGAGGAAAACTGTAGAACAAATATGCCAAAAATTAACAAGACTTCTCATATCTGCATATCAATCTATAAATTAGACACAAAATTATAGCTTTCTAACACTTTGAATTAAAACTACATTTTTTAAATATCAAACTAGTATGAAAGACAATTGTTTGAGGGCCTCCCCGGTGGCGCAGCGATTGAGCGCTGGGTTGCGAAGCTGCCCGCAACCTCTGCAGTGCCGGTTCGATCCCCGGCTGCACCCCAGCCACCGGGCGAGGGTCCCACATGGCGCGCAGACCTCTCCTGCCGCCCGCTGCTCCCCTCAGCAGTGTACTTAGGTCCTTCTGCCTGCTCTGCTCCCCGCTCTGGCTCTGGTGAATTCTCTCACCCTCCTGCACTTCTGACTGTACCCAGTGTTGTACAAATTAAATAAATAAATAAATAAATAGATCTTAAAAAAAAAGACAATTGTTTGAAAAAAAAATAAAGACAATTGTTTGAAAAATTAAGAGCCAATGTGGCAGCATGGGAAAGTATTGCTAAAATATTGAAAAAAAAGCTAACTAAATTACATAGAACTTGTTATGAATTTTATGAATTTATTTCCATATGGCCTAAAAGAAAAAAAAAAAACATTGTATTTGTGAAAATTCTCAAAAATACATACATACTAACATGTTTTACTGAAGCATGATTTAATTTTCTGGGGTATATATAAGTAAATTTTGTTATAATTTTTTCAATTTAAAACTCTAGTTTTGGGTGAGATGAACACTGTTAAATATAGTACTTAATGTAGATTATTAGTTACTAAAATGCACATGATCTCATTTGTTTTTCTTTAAGAAAAATACAGATAGTCAACTCATTATCATTCTACAAGTTTTAAAAGTGAAGGTTTCTGATTAAATGATGCAAATCAATTTATAAATAGTAATATGGTTAAAATGTAGGACTTCCAATTTCATCTACTATTCATTTTTTAAATATTATTGAATCTCTTTAAAGGCTCTACATTATTGCAATCAGAATATTTATGTAAAATTAAAATAGATTCTTACATGGATAATTTAGACAGGTTGCTATATTTTGTCTTTTGAGGGTGAATATGAATCAATATTTTTCATTAACAGTTTGATGAACTGCTTTTTGGCGGTTATGTGGTAGATATTAACCCTAACAATAGCATAAAATAATCAACAAATCCTAGGGTTTTATTTTTAGAACAAGTGCAGTAGTTCTGAAATAAATCCTAAAAGTGATTCTGTGTTGTCCATAAACATTTTCCTTACATTATTTTTAAACCTAATTCTTCTTTATAACCATCATATTAATGGGTGAGTCATATATATTGATATTGTAGTAATCATGATTGATCAAGATGTAACATTTTTGGAATTTGTACAGACCTTTACTGATGGAATGATGAGGACAATTATGATAGAGCAATTTAAGTTATCAACTACATGTTTTTGAAGATACTGATAAACCTGTGACCGGTTAGGGTCAGATAAAATTCTGGCCATTTGGTGAGACCCCACTTAAAAATAACAGGTGGGGGCCTCTCTAGTGGCTCAGGCAGCTGAGTGCAGCGCTGTGAACTGTCAGCAACCTCTGCAGTGCAGGTTCAATCCAGGCAGGCCGGAAAGACACTCATATGGCGCAGCAGACCTCTCCTATCTCCCCGACTGCTCCCCTCAGTAATGTATTTCAGTCAGTTTGCCTGTTCTTTTCCCACTCTGTCTCTGGTGAATCCTCTCACCCTCCCACACATCTGGCCTGTACCCCGGTTCTCGTATGCATGAATAAATAAATCTTTTAAAAAAATAAGAGATGGTCCTGATAAGATGTCTCTGAAATGTGACATAAAATTTGTGGCTGTGGCAAAAATTGAGGCAATGTAAAAAGCTTATGAACTTGACAGCAATAGCCTGGAAGCCTTTTCCAGAGTTTAGTGACAGTTACTAGGAACTCTTGCCCTGAAAAGTGACATCTCGTCCTCTTTGCAGATGGATGATGCCTGGGGCTCTCTGGATGGAGAGCTCTGCAACACCAGCCTCTTTACATTTGCCCGGAGGTTAAGGTTCCTTCACATCCCTGATTTTTGCTGCCAATTAAATTGTATGCTTATATTATTGTAATGTAGATTACCCTTAATAAATTCATATTGTGGTTATATTGTCTTAGTAATGAGTGAAATCTTCCTGCTTTAGGGAAATTAATGGACTAGACTTCTAGAACCTGATAAAAACAAGGAAAACTAAACTGAAGTGAGGTTACAATTTTATTTTTCATTTTTTTTAAAGATTTATTTATTTATGCATACAGGAGCTGAGGTGTAGGCGAGAGGTTCAGAGGGTGAGAGGATTCACCAGAGATAGAGTGGGGAACAGAACAGGCAAATCTACCAAAACACACTGCTGAGGGGAGCAGTGGGTGAATCAGGAGAGGTCTGCTGTGCCATGTGGGTAGCTCCCTGGCAGGGATCGAACTCATGCTGCAGAGGCTGCGAATAGCTTCATAGGTTGTGTCTTTTTTTTTTTTTTTATAGAGGCATGCTTTATTTATTTATTTATTTGTTTGTTTGTTTGTTTGGTTGGTTGGTTGGTTATACATGCACTGGGTACAGTCAGAAGTGCGGGAGAGTGAGAGAATTCACCAGAGTCAGAGCGGGGAGCAGAGCAGGCATAAGGACCGAAGTACACTGCTGAGGGGAGCAGTGGGCGGCAGGAGAGGTCTGCGTGCCATGTGGGGCCCTCCTCCGGTGGCCTGGGAGCTGCTGGGGATCGAACCGGCGATGCAGAGGCCGCGGGCAGCTTCGCAACCCAGCGCTCAACCGCTGCGCCACCAGGGAGGCCCCATAGGTTGTGTCTTAACCCCTAGAGCCACCAGGGAGGCCCAGGTTTTACAATTTTAAAAGACAAAAAGTTCCAGATTTTTAAAAACTTTGACTCTAATTTTGCAATGTTCATCAAATGTAGGTAGCAACAATTCTATTTTAAAGTGATATTTTTTTACAAATTAATCATATTTAAGCACATATTTACACTTAGAAAGTATGTTATCTAACCCATTGATTTGATTGCAACTGTGGGGAAATAAAGAACTACAAAAGTTGATATCACTTTAAAAAGACCAAAATAAGACCAAGTTCTTTTTGACAGTGTAATATTCATAAACTTTAAATAAAGTTCAAGGTAAATCAGCATTTCAGACAAGATCAAAGTATCAATCAAAATAAATACTGGGGATCCATGACTAGAGAAGATAACAGAAAATATAATTGAGTGTCACAAAGGAAGATAAGAAAATATGAACCAGAAGCAGAATATTTTGAGAATAACAAGTGATAAAACTGGAACTGAAACTATTCTGAGAACTTACTTTTTAACTTTACCTAAGGATGCATTGGTTAACCATAAATTTGGCTGTGTTCTTCAGAAAGTTTGACCAGATTTACCATGATGAGAACAGCAGAGATATGTAAAAATGTAGGAAGACATAACTTGAAACACAAATAGGAAAATTAAACTTGTGAACTATTTTTATAAAAAGTTTCAATTTCCCTGTATTTAATAGAATATGAAATGCTTCTTGACTCTCTTCCCCGGGTTCAGGAATATAGAACCACCAATCTATAGTAAAAAAGGAATCTGGAAATATATAGATACAATTTTAGCAGATAATGTTTTCAACCAATGAATGTGGTTAAGTAGCATTTACTAGTTTTAAAATTTTATATAATTTTACTATATAATTGTTAATAATGGGTAGCATTCATAATTTTAAAATGAATGAATAGATCAATAATAATAAAGCAAACATTAGTATACTGATTATGGTAAAAAGATGAATTATCATAAAGTAAAACTATATAAAACTCCAAATATATTCTTACAGGAATTGAATATCAAAACTGGGAAATATAATTAACCAAATAGTACCTGCATGCAAATATTTAATTGCATGCTACTACCAAATACAAAAATAAATGATCTGTGGTAGATAAGTAAATAAAGTGAGGATTTCAGATAACTTTAAAAACCAGAAATATATTCATTTTATTTTGACTGAACAGAAAGCTATATCCTCTTCCTAGAATGCCATTATACAGTAAGATGCAGAGCTCTTGCGTCTTAACATTAATTCAACTCTTAAATACATGTAATTTCCAATGATTATTAACATGTTGTGGAAGTTTTTAAATCCAAGAATCTTGATGTTAAGTGTTATTTAGTTTTTGCTTTTCATTTTAATATTTCTAAAACTTATGTGTTCAGTTATGTGAACTTGAACAGAAACTCATACTTTTCCAGAAATATTAATAATTATAAAATGTTTCATTATCTGTATCACATAATAAGTTGTTAAAAAATTACAGAGAAAATATTTCATTTAAATGTCACATGACAGGAGAAAGCGAGGGTAGTTGAAGAGCCGGGGATGGGTGGGAGGTGGGCTCCAGGGGACCCCACGGTGGGCAATGCAGGGTGGTGGGGGTGTGCGAGGGAAGACACTTTTAATTAGGTACTGAGTGAAGAGAGTTCTTGGTCTCAAGACTGGGGCATGGGGGTTGGGGAATGTTCCTTCAAAATCTCTTGGACCCCATACCTCCTAGTTGGACACTTTTCGTTATGTAGACACAAGATCTTGTTTGAGGAAACACGGTGAGATGGGGTGGGGTGGGGGGTTGACCAGTTTCAGGGAGCAGAGCTTGCTGTGCGTGTATTTTTTCCTTAACCACCGATGCAGAACCTCATCTTCAGATACTTGCAAAATCGATCTCGGATTCAGGTGTGGCTTTATGAGCAAGTGAACATGCAGATAGAGGGCTGTATCATTGGTTTTGATGAGTATATGAACCTCATATTAGATGACGCAGAAGAGATTCATTCTAAAACAAAGTCAAGAGAACAACTGGGCCGGATCATGCTGAAAGGTGATAACATTACTCTGCTCCAAAGTGTCTCCAACTAGAAAAGATCAATCAAGTGAGGGATGGTTGAGAAGATAATTCAGTTAGCTTTTTTTACCTGTTCTTTATTGGGACGATAGTTCTGAAACATTTGTTCCTATTGTTTGGATTACCCTTATGTTATTACCAGATGGCAATAAATTCTGTGGAATTGTTTTTATTTAAAAAAAAATAAAAATAAAAAAGTCACATGACATACATGAAATATAAACTTGGAGTTCAGTTATTGAATACCATACTATATTCAAAAATCTTCCATTTTTACCAAGTATTTCAGTTAACAAAGTTTTCCCAGTACTTTCACCATAAAAATGAAAATTAGGAAGAGAATTAACAGTGAGCCCTGTTCTATTTTTGTAATTATTATCATTTACTTAGGGACATATAAATTAACAGAAAGGCCATTATTTTTATTCCCAATATTTTATTTCTATGTTTAAAATTCATGCAAAATTATAATACATTTATGTGGTTTTATTTAAGTCATGAAATGTCACAATAACTCATATTCAAATTTTTATGCTATTAGAACCATTTCTGATTATTAAAAGAAGTATGATGTTACTATAACTTTTCAGTCACAAAGCAAATAACTCATTTGGAAAAATAATTATGTAGCTAACAAAATTAAATAACTCTAACATTACTATTTCTATTATTCTAGAAATGATAACTTGTTCTCTATGTGTGCATATAATCACTTTTAATCTCATATAAAACAATTTTTGTCAATTAAAAAAAACTGCAAAAGGTATGAAATATTTTTGAGCTGGTACACCAATAAACAGCATGAAGACCACTGGTGCAAAGAGTCCCTAACATTTATTAAATGCTTCTTATTTTTAAATTGCCAATTTTAAAACTGGAAATGTTTATCACAATTATTTACTCAGAACAATTATATTATTATAATGGTTGTGAAAAGGTGAAGTAACTTGTTCAAGGCTATGTAGCTAATAAATATGTTTTTGTTTCTAAAATAGGTATTTGACTTGAATCTGTTTTCTTAGTCATTTTGATGTACTTCTGCCCTAAGTCTTCAATATAATAAGAGTTTAACTAAATGGTAGCTATTATTTAGATAACCACTTATAGTAACAATTATATGAACAATTATATGAACAGAAGTAACAATTATATGAACAGAAGAATAGTTTCTAAACACTGTTCATTAAAAGACAATATGCTTGTGATTATTTTTATCTCTCTTGTATGTATCACTGCAAAAGCTTAGATATAGCAGAAATGACAAAAAATATTTATTAGATAAATAATTAAGTGGATGAATGTCCAAATAAATAACTTTTCCCGTTCAAGTACTAGCCAGGCCTGACCCTACTTAACTTCAGAGATTAGAAGAGATTGGGCATGTTCAGGGTGTATGGCCATAAACCAAAAAACAACTTATGAAACATATGGTTTTGGAATTATAAATTATTTTGTGACATTTTCACAGTATAAGACCTATATTCTGACTACATTTTCTGCTATGACTTAAACATATGTGAGGATTAAATAACATCTTCAAGTTATAACATATTCTTAGAGAAAACAACTCAAATTTATTTTAACTCATATAGTGATGGATTTTTCCAATAGTTTATTATACTGGCCTATATTTCTCATGTAATTGTTGGGGTGCAGGGAAAAGTCCCCACTCCTTTGGGTTCTATGATGTGCTGGACAGGTAATCAAAGCAGCATATGATAGGTTAAAAATAAAACAATTTAATATTTAAAAATTCATTTAAAATAAATTTAAAGGGAAAACTGACTTGGTTGTAAATTCTAAAGAATAATGGAGCAGACCAAAAGTTATTTATTCTATGTTTAGGTATGTGTGGCATCAAGGAGAGAGAGGGAGAGACTTCACATGATGAAGTGGGGGAGACCTCATCTTTACTTATAAAAAAGAGAAGATTCTCAGAGAATAGATTGATGACATAGTAACTGATAAACCATCGGAAACTTCATTCTTCTCCTTCATAAATGGGGGAACAGGGGTTACTTCTTTAATTAGGAAAAGGGTAAACAACTGAGAAAAGAACAAAGCTTCTCTTATCCTCTAGAGCTCTTAACTTAAATTACCTGCTCACAGGACCTCAATTGACCTTTAATTTTCCATCAGGTGACAAGAACCCTACTCTGGGCATATTGAGAAAAGCCTACTTGATCCTTTTGGGGAGACTGATACTACAATATATAATGTCCCTATGAGCACTTTGCTTTCCTTAATATCTGTGGCTTCATGTTAGATGATGTTAAGTTGCATAGAGAAGGGTTTTCTTTTTATTCGTGCTCTATGCCATTTTACAAATGCTTCAAAAAATCATAGAATTATGAAGTTAATGAACATTGTCAAGAAAATAATGATTCATTAAAACAAAAAAGAAGCATTGCTACAGGTCAAATATGTTTGGAGACATGCCTTTCTCTGTAAATAATAGACATTAGCAATTTATCATCTTAGATATTTACTGTAACAAAGAAATATGTTTAAACATCCTTAATAGAATGTTTCTCAAATGGAACACCTACTATTTATCTCTCAGAGATAAAGTACTAATGGACAGGATTTGAGAACAAAAATTTCATAGTGCTAAAAGCAATACCAGAATTTGATAACTAATTTAAGAGATAAACAACCTAGCCAGGGAATTGCCAAGATACAAATCATGAGTGATGCTGTTTCCCAAGGAGACAAGATGATGTTTTATTATAAATCACATATTTCCAGCTCTGTGACCTTTCGCCAGTTATTTAACATGTCTACCCTCTGTTTGTTCCCATCTCAAAGAGATGTGAAGCAGAGTAAATGCCAGAGTGTAAGCAGGAAAACACAGAAGCATGCTAGCACATTGTGAATCTAGTAGAGTTTTGATGATGATGATACTTGAATTCCAAAACATCATTAATTTTTTTCTTTTATGTTCTGTGGGAACTTCAATGCACATAGGTCTTATTAAAAAAATTATTCTTTTTTTTTCCTCAAAATTTTGTCAGCAATGGTGTTTACAATGTGTGCAGTAGGTAGGTTGATATTTTAATAAAGTATAGAAATTCATTTTTCGAATATTCTCACTGTTTAGGGATAAATTGCTTTTATCTATCTATCTTCTACCCATCCATCAATCCATCCATCCATCCATCTATCCATCTGTCTGTTCTTCCATCTTTCTATCAATCTGGTAACCTATACTATTTATCCCTTTCTATTTTTATAATATAGGTAAAAAAGTCATTGAAATGTCTGCAAAATAATGCTGGTTTAGGAAGCTTGTTGAAATACATTTTGAAGAATTAAAAGAATTATATGACTTCCCCCTTTTTAAGTATCTGCTCATATTTTAAAATCTTGAGCTTTTACTTGTTTTTCTGTCATGGAGTTAAATAATAAGCTGAAGATTGCTGTTGTGGGAAATATAATATCTGTTGTGCCATTCAACATGGAAAGGAAATCACCTGTGGCTAGTTTGAAGTTTGTTCCTGAAATAGATGGGGATCTGTCATCACCTGCCTGATGTGATAGAAGCCCAACAAATCCTTTTATCTCAGCTGTGCTCGTGAAAGAGCCTTTGTTTAATCGTGATGAAAAAAGATCCTGGGGTAAAAGGGAAATAGGTTCCCTGCAGAATCGAAGCCTCCAAATGGCCATAAAAAATGTATGCAGGTAAACATCATTTATACAATATTGCTTTATAGCAGATTATAGGGCTCATGTTGTGTGCCATAGACTCCATGGGGGAATCAGGAGGAAAACAGAGTTTCTATTTCCTTGGAAGTTGTATCAGGATAACACAGCTAAAACTGTTGCTGGAAGTAATCCCTGAACAGAGGTTTGAAATCACATTGCTTTAAAGAACAGCAACATATACAAACCAATACCATATTTAGTACAGTTTTCTAAAATATATTAATTTTGCATCATATGAATACCTATTCTATTTGCCAAGAGTATGTCTCTATTATTACTTGCCTTTTCACTGGAATTATAAATACATTTACTTTCATGTATTACGTATATTAAGGTGAAGGCATATAAATAAAGAAAACAGAGATGCTAAGTAATTGAAACATTTTTAAAAGATATTTTTCAGTCTTGTGATGTTCATTATTTCATGATTCATCAGATTTTGTCAGTAATGTAATAATTACTCTAGGTCACTGGAGTAACTGTATCACCAATGAAAAGGTCTACATTAGTGTGTGTGTGTGTGTGTGTGTGTGTGTGTTTTCCAATATATTTACCAAGGATAGAGGTAATAAGTGACAGTCAAAATTATAATCAAGGAACTTAAATTATTTAAAGAAGGCTCATGTCTAAGTGTGAATATTGAAGGGTTATGTTGAAAAGTTCACCCTTAAGACAGCTAGCATGATTCATGACATCTATTGCTTTAGTGTAATTGTGATGTATAGAAAGCGATCTCCTAAACATTATTCCTGGTATTCCTTATATCATCATTGTCAAATATACACTTGAGTTTTGAATGATGTGTGTTTCCCATTTTAACAATATAAAGTCTCTTTGAACTCTATATTTTTAAAACATTATAGACAAGTCCCTTCTATGGAAGTAACATTTTACAAAAATGGTGAACTCATTTAAAATGGCTAATTAAATAAGAAAGTTACGTGTGACTCATATCACCATTCTTTTTCTCTCTTTCCCTCCCTCCATCACTCCTTCTCTCTTTAGTCAGGAACAAAACTTACAAATGTGAGAAAATCTGCAACATAACTTGTAATTGTCACAAACACACACACACACACACACATATATTTTGTTAAACAAGTAGCCAATCATCTACATAGCAAATTATGAATTAAGACTAAAATAATCAATTCTATGAATTATTTCCAAATAATTATTTCAGAACAAGTGTTAATAACTTTAATTTGAAATAATTTCATATCAAGCTTTACCTTCGTAAACCTTTCATTCCTTGACCAATGTTTGCTTTCTCAGTAAACACTACACAACTGACATACTGATCTTAAAATACAAATGTAAGTATGCCAAGACCTAGTGTAAATACTTTAATCAAGTCCCACAGCCATTGACTTGAAGGTCAAATTCTT